CGGGTGCGTGTGCGTGCGTGCCCAAGATCCCGAGAGGAGAATGGAGGAGAAGGGATTGCGGCGTGGCCATCCCCCCTGGGGGGTGATTTCCTGCTTTCTATCTCTCTGTCTCTCTGTCTGTCTGGCGAGCGCACGCGCCCTATAGCAAAAACCTCTCCAAAAAAAAAAAAAAATCCTAAGAGGAGAATGAAGAAGGGACTGGTGTGGTGATCCTCTTGAGGGATGATTTTTTTACTCTCTCTCTCTTTTCTTTCTCTCTAGTGAGTGTATGTGTCCTATAAGCATAAAAAAACTAAAAACAAACAAACTAAGATGTATTTATTGTAAACAATACTACTGAGGAAAGATATCTTCATGGCCTCATGTGTTTTTCCTCATAATCTTTTTCTATTCATATTTTGACTACTTTCATAAACATAGAATTATAATACATAACTATTTACAAGCCTATTTTTGCTTAAGATTACACCGAACACAAGTACAATCATACCTACAATTTTTTTATTATGGTAAACTATACATAAATAACAATTAGCATTCTAAGTATACAGCTCAGTGGCATTAAGCACATGCATGTTGTTTTCAACCACCACCACAACCACCATCACTCATTTTCAGAACCTTACATCTTCCTAAACTTACACTCTGCACCCACTAAATAATGCTCCATTCCTTCTCAGTCCTAGCATCCCTCATTCTATTTTCTGTGTGAATTTGACTACTGCTATGGTTTGAATGTTTGTTTCCTCCCAAACGCATGATGAAATATAATTGCCATTGTAGCAGTATGAAAGGCGAGATATTAAGATATGATTAAACCATGGGGGCTTTGCTTTCTTACATGAATTAATGCCATTGTCACAAGAATGTTCATTATCAGGGCAGGGGAGTTCTTCTGAGGAATTCAGGCCACCTTACATCTGCCGCTCTTGCTCTCTTCTCCCTTCTGCTCTGTGATTCCTTTGACCATGTTGTGATGCGGCAAGAAGCTCCTTGTCTGACACCTACATCTTGATGTTAGACTTCCCAACCTCCAAAACTGAGAGCCAAGAAATTTCTGGGCATTATGAATGACTCAATCTGTGGTATTCTGTTAGAGCAGCACAAAATGGACTATGACAATTACCCTAGGTAGCTCATATAAGTGGAGACATGATGATATATGTGCTTTTGTGTCTGGCTGTTTTACTTAGCTAATGTCTTCCATGTTCATCTGAGATGTAGCATGTGTCAGTTATGTATATACTATAATTTATTTATTTATTCATCCTTTGATTGACTTTTAGGTGGTTTCCACATTTGGCTACTATTAATAATTTTGCTATCCATGTAAGTATCAGTTTGAGTCTCTGCTTTGCATTCTTTTGGGTAGACATTCAGAAATGAAAATGCCAAAAATTATTTTATGTTTAATTTTTCTGTGTATTCTATGGCACATTCATACATTTTATATTCCTGCGGAGCCGTGGGAAGGTG